GTATGAGACTCTGGGGAGCAATTGCGCATTGTACGAGTCTCTCTGTTTTATTTTTTGTTTGTCCCGTTTTGTTTTCTGAATAATTTATGCGAAGTTTTACAAATCGCAGTTAGAGAGATGCCATCAGAATAATACATATAATTATATAATTAAATTATAATTATAATAAATAATATTATAAAATTAACACCAATTTCCCCATCAAAACTACACAAAAAAAAAAATTCAAATTCTATGAAATTCATGTGAGAAAGTGTTTATAATTTTTGATATCATCTCATTTAAGAGTTATAAACCATTTAAATCGAAGGACATGGACAGCACTGATACCGAAAGGCAGTCTGGATTGTCAGGAGCCAGTGCGAAAATGTCAAAGTCGAGATAAAACCGTACACTCCATGGCCAACATTTCTGTACAGACCCGGCATTCCTATTACTTAATCAAGAAATTCCTTTTGCCTTTGACTTTGCTTTTTTACCTCCTTTCGCCCGCTGAATGCCCCGCCATCCTGGCGTTAATGGCCTTTAGAAGCTCTGTGGCCTTTGGTTCCTTTCGTTTTTACCAAAAAGGGTATAGACCTTATTCCCATCGAAATTTATAAAAATATTTAAAGAAATTATTGGGTTTATTCATGTTAAAATTGTTATTTCTTAATGATACTAAATAAATAAAAAAAATAAAAAGGTTCTATAATTTAAAATCATAAATATTGAATTTTCTTTAAGGTAAAATGGCAGTAAAGAGTCTTCCAGGTTTCGGTGGCAGCCTTATGTCCTTATATCCTTCCTTCCTTTGTTTTGTTTATAATGAAAGTGACTTGACATTCCGCCCCCTTGTGGCTTTCAGTTGTATTTGGGTCACCAGTTGGAATTTGCAATAAAAACGGGATGAACCGAGTTCATTTGACCCGGGGACTGAGGACAGATTCCGCGAGATGGTCATTTTCTGGCGAAAATATTTGTATTTAGTGAGAAGTTTCCTTCATAAATCCTCTAAGAAAATCAGGTGACTTAGTGCCCAAATATTTGGCAGCCAGATTAGAGCATAAAAATATACAGAAATCATATAAACCATTTTAGTAAAAGACTGTTTTACAATACTTCCGAAAACAGCTTTTTAAAATTAAAATGTAGTTTAATTTTAAATATCCTAAATAAAGCTGGAATATAGATTGATTTAAGTGCCAAATTTGAATTCAAATTTAAAAAGATGAAAAGATCCGCCACCAAAACTGGGCCTGCGCGTGCAGTCATCGGCTTGGGCCAAGTCCTGCCTAAGCTCATGGTTCGAGTCATGGGTTACGTAGCAGTCAAAGCGGAATCATCTTTTACAATAATTTTACATTCGACAAATACATTTCATGAACCTTTTCTCTTTTTTTTCAACAGGCAGAAAATTAACTTAAATTAAGTATGCAGATTTATTAATCACATAGAAACACATAGAAAAAAACTGCCTACTCAGTTTTGCTTCAATACTTACCTGTAATTTTTAAATAATTTTTTAAACAAAAATTGGCAGGAAACCAATTTTTCAAAATCTCATAACTAACTGAATTAGTTTTTTTAAGTTTAATAAAACTGCATACTCTACCCATAATTTTAAAAAACAATTGAAATAAACAACAAACAAAACTTAAAAAATCCATCCGTTATTAAATCTGCATACTTAATTTAAAGTTGTTTTCTAATTTTATTTATACCACATTTTCAGGCCTGCTCCGGTAATCGTAAAATTTTTTCGATTTCGTTTTGGGCGAAAACGAACCGTTTTCGTTTTAGCTGCTCCGGTTTTCGGCAAATTTCTGCTATCGGAATGTTTCGTTTTCTCATCGTTTCTCACTGCTCAAGCAGCTAACTTGTGTTGTTGGTAATAAGCAAACAACGTAAAGTACTGACTATTATATTTACAATTGCCCTTTTTCTAAGCCAGAAAAAGGCAAAAAATGGTCGAGTTAAGCAAATCTAGGCACCTAAGATGCTGCCACACTTTTCACAGTTTTAATTCCGGTGGTCTCAAATAATTATTTGGTTAATTTGGACTATTTAAGTAGTACAATTAAATAGCATTATTTATAAACAACCATTTTGGCGGTTCTTTAAAGTTATTAATGAATTCATTTATATTTTATAAGTATTTTTAACTGGATGTTTCGTTCCACCAACAATATGGCAACCTTGGCGATAACTTTCTGCGGTGAACTTATCGACCTATCGCCAAACCGAGAAAACTAGTTGAACACGGCAAAAATTTTGTTGTCAAATCTGAGGTGGGGTCAGAAATAAATTTTTTATAAAATAACTACCTGCCAGAATGATCTTGTGGTGGTGTGGAATATACATCAATAGACCACTGAGTAAACTATTTTTTTCCTTTTGTAAATAAGATCTGATTTCATATAGAAAAAGCCATTTACTTTTCATTCCGGCCAGAAAAAGGTGCCCGTTTTTCAAATCGAAAAAATCTTTCGATTTCGATTACCGGAGCACCAATTTCTCGTTTTCAAAAACGAAAACGAAAAATTCTTGCCGTTTTCGATTACCGGAGCAGGCCTGTTTATTCCAGTTATTATATATAAATAATATTCCCCAATAAATTTGCCATAACAAATAAAATCCCATACTCTTTCCTCTACTTACAGCACAAGTTCATCCTAGTCATCATTGTAATTGTTGATTGATGATCATCGGATCGGCAGAGGTGAAGCTGGAGGAGCGAGCAGCTGGGATGGCGAAGCTCAAGCGGATGGCAGTCGAGGACGAAGGTCGGAACTTGGGTCGGGGCTAGTTGAAATCGTGCAGAAGGCGCAAAGTATTAGAATATTTATAAATACAATTTAAATGTGTAAATGTAATTGAGGGAACATACGAATATTAATTTAATTTATTTATTATATTATCCTAGCACAGCAAGTTTACACTTATAATTGTAGCGCTAGTCACAAATCAATAAAATAATCAAATAATCAATAAAAGAACCTGAAATCAATGTGGAAAGGTTTGTTGATGGCGGCATTTATTTGGGGGCCTTGGGATTGTTTGGGGGGAAATTTTTTCAAAGCGAAATCATTTTTTTTTTCTTCACATTTTCGATTTTTTAGCACATTTTTCTGAATTTTAAAATTTTAAAAAAAATTTTCTGCATTAAATAAAGTTTTTTCTGAATTTTTAAATTTTTTTTCAGATTTTTTTTAGATTTTTTTAGAATTTTTTACATTTTTTTTTTTAATTTTAACTGCCAAATTTGAATTTAACTGCGAAATTTGAATTTAACGACTATCAGTTTCAGTGTGCCCAGGTGCAGTTGTAAAATAAAACTTAAATTTGGATTCAAAAGGTTTGAGTCACCGCTTACTTGCCCCGGCTCCTAAATGGTTCGAAACTTGGACTTTTTATAACAGTTTATACCAGTTTTAAGTTGCTTGCTGCTGGTTTCTGTTCGCCTGTTACCCCAATTTGGGAAACGGGCAATTTGCATGGAAATGTTCGGAAATTTGGATGGTCTGCTGTAGGGATGTTGTTGTAAAAAGGTTGTTGTTGCCATCAAGCTGTTGTTGTCCGCAACAAATAGGTATAAAGGCATAAAATGAAATATAGCAGTTTATACCAATTATTATTTTTGCCCAAAAGTTTTTATAACAGTTTATACCAGTTTTCAGTTGCTTGCTGCTGGTTTCTGTTCGCCTGTTACCCCAGTTTGGGAAACGGCCAAATTGAATGGAAATTTTTGCTCACTTACATCAGTGATGCTCATCTGCATCAATGATGCTCATCTGCATCAGTGATGCTCATCTGCATCAGTGATGCTCATCTGCATCAGTGATGCTCAGCTGCATCAGCGATGCTCATCTGCATCAGTGATGCTCATCTGCATCAGTGATACTCATCTGCATCAGTGATGCTCATCTGCATCAGTGATGCTCATCTGCATCAGTGATGCTCATCTGCTTCAGTGATGCTCATCTGCATCAGTGATGCTCATCTGCATCAGTGATACTCATCTGCATCAGTGATGCTCATCTGCATCAGTGATGCTCATCTGCATCAGTGATGCTCATCTGCTTCAGTGATGCTCATCTGCATCAGTGATGCTCATCTGCATCAGTGATGCTCAGCTGCATCAGCGATGCTCATCTGCATCAGTGATGCTCATCTGCATCAGTGATACTCATCTGCATCAGTGATGCTCATCTGCATCAGTGATGCTCATCTGCTTCAGTGATGCTCATCTGCTTCAGTGATGCTCATCTGCATCAGTGATGCTCATCTGGCCATATATTGCAATATTGGGGGGAAAATTCGCCAGTGATGCTCATCTAGCTATTGTTTTTTCATTATTAGTAGAAAATGGCATCTCACTTACTGCCAGTGATGCCCATTTAGTTTTTTTTTAATTATTGCGAGAAAATGGCATCTCACTAACTGCCAGTGATGCGCATCTAGTTATTTTGTCGGTTAAATTAATAAAAAATATATCAATACAATTAAAAACAAAAGTTTTCTATAAATATTAAAAGTTTATTTTGGTTTGCCGCGTTTACATTTTGGTGTTTTTGGGAACAATAATAATATATATAAATGTACAATATATATTTGTATAACTAGCGTCTATATACGTATAAGCCGTAGCTAGCGCAGAAGCCAGGACCCGCATTTCCGCATTTCTGGTTCACCTTGAAAATGTTGGGCACTCGTAGCGGTAGGCCACCCGAATCTCGGGAATGCCGATAATGACGTTCCATCTTCATAGTAGACAGCCACTTTTGCTTTATCTGGTTAAGAAAAGGATTCGGTTTATGGTTACTGTTACTCTCAATAAATAATAAAACTCACGGGATGAGGAAAACCGCTGGCCGACTCGTACATGTTGCAGGAGCTGAGCTTCCACACCTAAGCTGCAATGATGTACTCCTCCATAAGGGGTTCCTGAGGGATCACAGAAGCAGGATTTTTGGCTGAGTTATATCGCTTTTCCAAGCCCAGTAAAAAAAACTCTCACGTTAAGTACATACAATATAAGACTGCTGCCTTTTGTTTATTTGATTTCTACACATCTCGCTTAGTAGGTTTGCCTATAACATTTCGATAAACTCTTTGAAATCTTTTGCTAAAACACACGTAGGACACGATCCATTTACATAATGACCATGGGTGGCTGGGCTGTATCTCAGCGTTAACAACATTTAAACATTTCTACACACATCGTAAACAGGATCTAGACTTTTTCGTAAATATATATATGCATATATCATATATCATTCGCTCTGTTTGTGCTCACATTCCTTCTTTCTTGTTTTATATAAAAAATATACAATTATAAATATGAATACATATCGTATATAGAGTATGTACATTTAGATGTTTCAAAAAGACAAGAATAAGAGTACGTCTCTCGTGTTCCGTTTTGTTTGTTGTTCAATAAATTAGTAGAAAATACATATTTTTGTTTATATAAAAATACAATAGGGTCCATAGGTTGCAAATACACGTAACACGTTTACAGCATATACTATATATACCATATATGCATGGGTGTTATACATATATCTTTATTTTTTCACTGTTTAGTTTTTCTTTTTTTATGTAGCGGAAATAGAGATTTGCTTAAGTTTGTTATTTATATTCTATTGCACAAAAGTTGTGTGTGTGTGTGTGTGTACAAAAAATTATACAAAAAGACTTATAAAATTATGACCGTTTTCCAGTGTGTGTGTGTGTGTGTGTGTGTGAGGTGAAAGGGTATGGCAAGCATTTGGTGCATACTTTTTGGGGTAATTCGGTATGTTTCTAAATCTCTTTCTTTCACTTTCACTTTCTCTCTATTTTCTCTTTTCAAAAATTCAACAAAAAATTATAAACAATTTCAAGCTCTGGTTTAAAATCTAGGAAAATGCTAAGCTTTGCATATATGGCCGACACATTCGTCTAACTTTAGCTACATACATTTATATACATAAACACACACATACTTGATCAACATGAACAACAGCAAATACACATACAGGTAATATCCATTCGTTGGCTTAAAAAAAAAAAAAAAAATTAACTGTTATCTCTGGTTTCTTATTAAATTGTTTTTGTTACATTGAAACTACACACCACACAATCCCCCTTAACATACACATCTATAATTCGCTACACTTAAAGCCACGTACTTGCATTAGTTTAGTTTTAATTGTATTATTTGCATTTAGTTTTAATTTAATTTAATTTAAAATTTAGTTTAGTTAGAGCTATTAAAAAAAAGGAAATAAAAACAGCGGCAGAAGGTAAAACAGGCGCATATAGGGCAACATCTGTTTCGATAAGATTAAAAAAAGATAACAAATTATATCGAAATCAATATCGAACTGATCTTGTTCTTCTAAAGGATCTCCTGTTTTTCTATATCTTTGCACTGTACTTAACCAACCGCAAATAACAACAATCGATCAATCAATCGATTAATCGACCCATCACTAGCAACTTTAAACCGATTCTATCATTTATCGTCACTATCGTTAATCGTTTCTATCATTTATCGCCACTATCGGTTATCGTTTATCATTTCTATCTATTCATATTCATTTATTATCACAAAAACACGGTTGATGCTCAACCTCGAGTCTCCCCCTGACCGTATCCCCCCTGGCGTATCCTCCCTCCTCTTTCCGTTTCGCTTCCTCTTCTTCCCTTGGTTCCACCTGCTCCGAATCTTCGCCTGCTTTTGGTTGGCTTTTGCTTGTTAGAGTCTTTAAATGCAATTTTGAAACCATTCTTGGCTTGGCTCTTCTCTCAGATCTCCACTGGCATGGAGTTGGTGGTGGTCACGGCATTGGGGGCCATATGGTTGCCTCCATTCGCCTGCAGCGACTCCTGCGACTTGAACAGGGTTGTGGTCTCGCTGGAGTGCAGATCATCATCATCATCATCATCATCATCCTCATCCTCGTCGTCCTCGTCGTCCTCCTGCTCCACTAGTTGCAGTTCCACCTGCAGAGGCTGCTTCTCTTCCTCCTCCTCCTGCTGCTTGAGTTCGTCTTCCTGTTGCTCTTGTTCCTGCTCCTGATTCTGCACCGCCTCATCCAATGGCTTTTCCCTCCTGCCCGTGTAGAGAAACACCTCCATGTGATCCTTGCCTTTCACATAGACACTCCCACGCGGCTCAAACTCATAGTTGCTGGTGAGAAAAGGCAGACAGTCCTTGCCCACTTGAATCCGATTGGGCAGGCCCGTGGAGTCCATGCGGGAGGCCACATTCACCGCATCGCCCCAGATGTCATAGTACAGCTTGCTGGTACCAATCACTCCAGCTGTGACATCGCCCACATTCATCCCAATCCTCAAGATAAGATTAAATTCGAGGAGATCCTTGTTAAAGGCATCCACCACCTCCTGCATGGCAATGGAGAACTCCATCAGCGTGTGTATATGCTCATCCCCCAGTCCTCGATGCGAAGGATCCAATCCACTGGCCGCCATAAAGGTGGAACCAATGGTCTTGATCTTCTCGACGGCCCGGAACTCCGGCCGGGAGAGCAGCTCATCAAAGTCACCAATCAGCTCGTTGAGAACGCGCAGGAACTCCTTGCCCCCCAGATAGCTCTCGTCGTACATCTCATTGAAGTTGACAATGCTGGCAAATATGATGGCAATGTTGTGATGATTCTCCGAGTATTTCGCGGTGTTCTTCAGATGCTCGGCCACATGCTTGGGTATGATGTTGTGGAGCAGCATGTCTGCCTGGTTCTTCATGTTCTGGACACGGACCTTGTCCTGGTTGGCCACGGCATTGCCATAGAAGGTCAACCGATAACCGATCTCAAATTCCCGATTAAGGAACCATACCAGGACCAGGATGAGCAGTAAATCTAGGTAGATTTCCACATGGTAGTCCTGGAACCACTTGATCTCCTCGCTAAAGTTGGAGGTGGAGGATGAGCTGGAGTCTTCTTGCTGCTTTTCCCGCTGCTCCTGCTGGTCGTCACGATTCTGGCTGTAGACCATCAGCTGGGACACTGCTATGCCGATAAAGCAGAGGGCCGCCAGGAAGGCCAGGACATTGCGCACCCAACAATTGAGCTGCGTAAAATTGCAGAAATGCACAATGCACACAAAGATCAGGAATCCATAGTGATACTCGAAGGCCTCCAGCTGCTCCAGGTCCAGCAGCAGGAAGTTGGCAATGATCAGCAGCACGGGCATGGCCATGAGCACGGCCAGGCAGATGTGCCAGGGATACCAGCTGGAAATGGCCTCGAAAATGCGATCTGTACAGGATACAGAGCTCGACGAAGGCTCCCTGCGGCGGTCTCTCTCCCTCTCCGATCTCCTCTCCTTCTCTTTTTCCTGCTCCCTTTCTATATCCTCACTGATGCTAGACTTGGATCTCAAACGATGGCTGCTCTGGCTGCTGCTCCCGCTCTGCCGGCGACACATCTGGCGGGTGAATAGAAACAAAGCAAACACCTGGATGCCCGTGAAGCAGGAGAAGAGCGTCACCCACAGCCGAAAGCTGGGACTGACTGTGTTCTGGGTCATCAGAAACAGGGAGACGGAGATGCACAGGTACACAGCAATGCCCACGAATATATCGATGTAGGTGTTATATCGCGGCGTGGCCAGCGTCGGCGGTCCCTCCGTCTCATTTTCGGCCCCAAAGCGATGGGCCTTGGAGCGGAAATCTCGCTCCAGCTGGCGGGACTTGAAGTAGAGGCTAAATCTGCGCAACGGTGGCTTCACCAGGTAGCTTCGCTGTGAACGAGCATTGTCCCGGACGCAACGGATTAGTTGGAGATCGGATTGCTTTCGCAACTGTTGCAGGCAGGCGGCCAGGGGATCGGCCATTTGGGAGGAGCATGCGGGCATTAGGATAGCTGGCGGTGGCGGTTGTACAGCCAATGGGAGTCCACCCATACCCAGGCCCATGCCCAGGCCTAGGTTCATGCCCAAACCCTGACCCACCTCGCCCAGATTGGAGATGCTTGACGTGGAGCTGGTGAAGTAGCCCGAGACCCGGTGCTGACTTATCGCCGACTGATTCAGCGCGTAAATCTGCTGCTGGATGGACGAGCGGCGCGAGTTGCTCTTGATCCCGGAATCCTTGCGTGAGGTGGCCGAGGGACAGATGCTTGACTGGCGGGAGTGCGTGGGCGGGTATCCCGAACCTCCTCCTGATCCACTGGGAGCCGGCAAGCAAGACGAGCTGCCCGGTTCCAGGCTGTTACCCGGTGGTCGCCCGGTGGCCAATGTTGAGGCCCTAGGCCTGGGCAACGGAGATTGCTCCACAGTTGGTACTGCCTGGGCTCCTGCTCCTCCACAAGCAGCTCCATTGCCTCCAGTAGACTGGCGGCCGCACTGGGATCTATAGCTACCCGAGCGTCCAAAGGGCGAGATGTCGCTCCGTGACTGACTGATGTAGGAGCGGACATCGATGATGTCGTCGTACATGGAATACTGGCCGGGGGAGCAGCAGCCAGTTCCTGCTCCCGCCTCTGGAGAGCGAAGCACACTGCTGGCCAGGGCCGTCGATGTGGCGGCATGATGGAGCACTGGTCGGGCAGCAGCTGTTGGAATGTCCAGGGTTTGGGTGCGCTGCTCCACAAGAACGGGCAGCTGCTGGTAGCCGCAGCCATTTTGCGTCTGGCTGTCCATAAAGGCCAGGGTTTCCTCGGGATTCAGGTGTGGATTCAGCTCCTCCTTCTCCCGCTCCCGCTCTCGTTCTCTCTCTTTCTCCCTTTCCCTCTCCTGCTGAGCTGCTGCTGCTGAGGAGGAGCTGCTGACACTGCCATTCCTGCTGGCCAGATCCTCGAATCGCTTGAGAAAACGCGTCACCTTCCACACCTTTAGCTTGATCTTGGCGGAGGTGGTGCTTGGCGGCGGTGGTGGCGGCGGCTTTGGAGGTTGTGGAGGCGGCGGACTGCTTGGCGGTTGCTCATCCGAGTCCAAGCTGCCCGGCAGCGACTTGGTTGTTATGATAATCTTGGGTCGCTCACGAACTACAATTACGGGGGGCACCCCCGCCGCTGCCGGATGGATAATGCCGCGCTCCACATCTCTGTCCCTGTCCCGATCTCGACTCTGCGACTTCTTGCGCAGCTTCATGCTTAGCGAGGTGAGACGTGGTCGCATGGAGAGTACCGGCGAGGGATTCAGCGAGCTGGAGAGCTGACCCACCGGCGAGGCGGGTGGGACATTGGGCTGGACCACGGATACATTGGTGGCGCTTTGCGACAAGGAGGCCACATGGCCGCCGGGCAGGAGCAGGGAGCTGCCCACAGGATTGGCTGGCATGCTGGGACTCAGGCTGTTAGTGCGGCAGAAGTCGCGACGTCGTCCCACCACAAAGTAGGTGCGATGGCCTGTTAAGAGAACAGAGATTAAATTTGGAGTCTTGTGGAAATATTTTTGGAAAACTCACCAAAGACCTCCTCGCCCTCCTCCAAGTAGTAGGCATCGCCCAAGAAGCTGGAAGTCTCCTGCGAGATGTGCACTTGCTCCGGCCTCCCAGATGATTCCATCCTAAAAAAAAACCAAAGAAAAGGGAAAATATTATTTAAAATACCAGGATGAACATCCTTCTCCTTTAACTCACTTGTTGGCCAGACTGACATCATTGCTCCAAACATCAAACTTGACCCGCCGGGTGCCCACTATCCCGCAGAGCACTGTCCCCGTGTGTACGCCCACCCGCATCTTAACGCCCTCATGCCGCTGAGCATCAAAGCAACGCATGGCATCGATCATCCCCAATCCCATCTCCACGCAGCAGATGGCATGATCCGCTCTGGGCTCTGGGCAGCCGGAAACACAGTAATAGCAATCGCCCAGCGTGGAGATCTTCTCACAACCACTCAGCGTACAGAGATCATCGAAGCGCTCGAACAGATCGTTCAGGATCTCCACTAGCTGCTCGGCCGTCTTGGTTGAGGACATGCGCGTGAATCCCACAATGTCCGCAAAGAGAATGCTGACATTCTCCATGCTGTGCATGTGAAAGGGCCGGAACAGGGACTTGACATCGTTGGAGGCCCGCGGTCGCATGTAGTGCGACTCGGGCGGCATTCCGCCCGCATCCAGGCCAGCGGTGCCACCTTCGTTGAGCAGCATATCGGCCACTTTTGGTGGCATCACCGAATGTATCATCTTCTCCTTTAGTTGCTTCTCCATTTCCAGCTGGCGGCGCACTAGGAGATTCTGGCCAACCTTCATGAAGGTGCCGCGCATGCGAACCAAGTTCATGATCAGGACATGGACCCCCACCAGATGCACGCTCAGATGGGCCATTATCCGGAGTACCAGGATCTTGTTGCTGGGATCTCCTGCTCCCGCTCCTCCTGCTCCCCCATGGATGCCACTGCATCCAATGACCATATGCGAGACCATCTCGAAGGCTATGGAGTAACTGATTGCTATGCTGGCTCCCAGCCAAAGGGGCATCGGCAGGGCCGTGTAGATCAGAAGCACAATCTCCAGGCAGATGGCAAAGTGACCCAGGGGACTAAAGGCTCTGCCCGTGTAGGTGAGAAAAGCCAGGGAGGCGCCGCACAGGAGCAACGCTGTCACGGCAGATGTCACCGTTCTGTGGTCACGATATAGCTCCCAGTGGGTGAAACACAGCGCCATGATGGTCACCAGCGAGAGCATCGAGAAGCTGCTCGAGATGGGGCGCCAGAAGTCCTCGGATCCGCCGTCCACCACAAAGTACAGGCACCACATCAGCGAGCAGAGCAGGATGTACGAGAGGGTGAACCTGGAATTGGAGAAATTTTGCTCATTTTATTTATACTACAAGGATTTTGATAAGAAGGATGTGCTAAAGAAATCGATCTTATCGATTATCATTATCGACAAGTAAATATGTAATAGCACATTATTTAATAGCACTAAACAAAGCAAATAACAAAACCCTTAGTTTAATAAATAAAATAATATAAAATAAAATAAAAATAAATAAAATAAATTAGTTTGGAATTTCTCTCATTAAATTAAACAAATAAAAGGCTTGTCATCAGAGTGGTTAAGGTTGGGGCCATTTATTTTGCAAAGCTGATTAAATTTGCTCACCAAATCAGAGCAGAGGATTAAGTCCGCGGGGAAATCAGGAGCAGCAGCTACTGCTGCGGCCTTGAACTGAGAGGCTGAAAGAGTCCCATTACATTACCCATTACCCATTACCCAGGCCAAGAGTAATTCCACATCCAACTTTCCCTGCCCGGGCCATTGCCATTCATCCTAATTAACGCTAACTGCAGCCAAGGAATTTCTGGCGAGAAAGAGAGTGGAGACCGGAGAGCGGCTTACACTTTCCAACCTGTCGCCATGACAACTTTAGCGAGTGGCAAATGCATTCATTACCCATTTTGTTCCGCTTCGAGGAGCTCAAGGGAGACGGAGGTCAGGCCGGAACCAAACAGGTTCCCATTCGATCCCCCATACACCCGAAGAGCTAGCTGTCCTCTAATCTCCGGCCATTGTTGATGCAGCAGCTCTAGGACCTGCCGCCATTGTTCTCCCTTTTTTTTTTTTTTAGCTTGGAAAACTTTTGGCCTGCGTGTGTCAGGAACAGGGTCTTAAATCAATTGGTTTGGCCAAGAAAATAAATCATGGCGACCTTAAAGAAATTCTAGAAAATCAAAGAGCTCGCTAAAATAGTTTAAAAAATCTACAAAAACATAACAGAATTTATATGTATTTTAATAAAGTAACAATTTCAGTTAATAACAAGGACAAACACACAAATCTCTTAAAATAATAATATTAAAAATAATTTTTACGAGTCCAGATTTAAAAACAAAATACACCAACCTCATTTATAAAATTATTAAAATTTTTTAATATTTTTATCTCTTTAAAAAATAATAATAAATACCCCCATAAAAAACTGTGCTAGAAAATGGCTAAAATAGTCAGCTGTAATAATCGATTGCTTTGTTGTCCCGCACGCGAAACGGTTGCAATTGGCCGCCAAATGGCCCAAAATGGCATTGACCTGCAGCTACGCCGACCTGCTGCTCCTCTCACCTTTCCCTGCACCACTTCTCTCCCCCCATCACTCCTCTCCCTCACCCCCCCTCCCCCACATGCCCTTCGAAGGGGCACACACGCCAAGCAAGCATTTATGGCGGCAATTTCGCCATCCTGCGCACTTGCTGAGCTAATTTGCCCTGGTTTACCCACTGCAACTCCCTGCTCCCTGCTGCTGGCCAGGATTCGTGTTGATTGCATGCACGTGCAAAAGTTGGACACGTACTATAGGGGCGAGAACTGCCACCATTTAGCAATCAAAGGGTTAAGGGAAAGGTGCGAGAGAAGCAATGGGAGTGTGGAAGAGGCAGGAAAAACAGGATCTGCATAAGGACGGGGTCAGCGAACCTGGGCCTAATGTCTGAGTTTTAAGTAAATGACAGATAAGTCTCAAGAATTTTGATCTCTGGAAAGTCAATGCCTTCAAAAAACAATGATTTAGGGTAGCTTAAATAAATTTAATTAACTATAAACATCAAGTAAGTGTCACAAATATGTTCAATTAAATTTCCCACATGGTTAGTAGTACATCGTTTGTGGCTAATTAAGGGCAAGCAATTACCAAATTGGCAATAAATATAAGGCCTTAGAAATACCATGCCTACACTCATACAAATTTGTACCTAAAATAGCACTGAAAATGCAGCTTAAAACAAGAAATAAAGCTAACTTTGGCCAGCCAAAGTTTGTATACCCTTGCAGGTAACAATTAAATTGAAATATATCATAACTAAGCCAAAAATGCATTAATTTCGGTTCGGAAAGCAGTTTTGTGTTAGTTTTTATTAATTTAAAAAAACTGCAACCAAATTTAAAATTTGAAGAAATCAACATTTTTGGCCATTTTTGCTAATTTTAATGATGTAACCCCTTATCAAATTTCGCAAAAATTGCCAAAAAATCGATTTCTTCCGGACATGTCTAGAAAGATTCGCATGTTAATGCTGATCAAGAATATATATGGTATATGGGGTTGAAAATGATTCCTTGACTTAGAAAAATATTATTTTGTATTATAAAATCGGATTTTTTATATTAAAAAACTTCTTGATTTTTTTAAATTAAATATACCATAACTCGGCCAAAAGAGCATTAATTTTAAATCGGAAAACTGTTCTGTGCTAGATTTTCTACAGTTAATAAATCTGCATACTTCATTTAAAAATTTTGGAAATTCAATTTTTTATCAAAATCAAACATTTTAATGATGTAACCCCTTATCAAGTTTCGCAAAAATGGCCAAAAAATCGATTTCTTCCTGACATATTTAGAAAGATTCCCCTGTTGATGCTGATCAAGAATATATATGGTCTATGGGAACCCATAAATCATATATATTCTTGATTAGCATCAATATACGAGTCTTTCCAGCCATGTAGGAAACAAATTTTTATACCCTTGCAGGGTATTATAATTTCAGTCAGAAGTTTGCAACTCAGTGAAGGAGACGTTTCCGACCCTATAAAGTATATATATTCTTGATCAGCATCAATAGCCGAGTCGATCTAGCCATGTCCGTCTGTCCGTCTGTCCGTCTGTCCGTCTGTCCGTCTGTCCGTCTGTCCGTCCGTCTGTCCGTCTGTCCGTCTGTCCGTCCGTCTGTCCGTTTCTACGCAAACTAGTCCCTCAGTTTTAAAGCTATCTGAATGAAACTTTGCATATAGTCTTCTATATGCTCTCACTGCTACATATGTCGGAACGGGCCGGATCGGACGACTATATCATATAGCTGCCATACAAATGTTCGATAAATTTTTGGAAAAAAAATTATAACTTGGCTGTTTTTCGATATTATTCCATCATTTTGAGATATAGCCATTTTATATTATTCCAGAATTTTGGTAAAAATTTTATGAAAATCGGACCACTATATCTTATAGCTGCCATAGGATCGATCGGGAAATTAATCGAAAAAATTATAACTTCGTTGTTTTTCAACGTATTTTAATCTACTTTGACACATGAGCTTTTGGTATTATTTCAAAATTTTGGTTTAAATTTTATGAAAATCGGACGACTATATCTTATAGCTGCCATAGGAACGATAGGAAAAGTAATAGAAAAAATTATAACTTCGTTGTTTTTCAACGTATTTTCATCTACTCTGAGATATGAGCTTTTAGTATTATTTCAGAATTTTTGTATAAATTTCATAAAAATCGGACAACTATATCTTATAGCTGCCATAGAAGCGATCGGTAAATGTATAAAATATGTAAAGCTGGTAATGTAAAACTGTAACTGTCAAACTGTAAACATAATAAGTATAGATAAAATGTAATGAAACTTTGTTTTGTGAGTGTTTTCAGCATTTAAATCTATAATATAAACCAATCTGCAAGGGTATACAAACTTCGTGCCGAAGTTAGCTTCCTTTCTTGTTTTTTTTAATTTTTGTCAAAAATTTTAAAGGGCTAAAGGTAATTTTTTAAAATATTAAAGATTAAAGATGCAGATTTATTAACCTATAGAAAACTAGCACCAAACTGTTTTCAAAATTGAATTTGAATCATTTTTGGCCGAGTTATAGATTTTTTTAATTACATTTATTTTAATTTCAAAATTTTATTAGAGATTAAAAAGTTAAAAAAAAAAAAAAATAATAAGGTTTTAAAATTTGATATATTGATATTTTTGGCGATATTATCACTCACCTGTAGCGCATGCGAACATGCGGAAAGACACTGGCCTGATACTGCTCCTCCAGCACCGGCGAATCGAACTTGGGATCCAGCCAGGACTTGGCCGCCGCCCGCTCAAAGGCCACCGGCAGCATGACGCTGCAGCAGGAGTGCCGCCGACCTGTCTGACTTAGATAGGTCTGGATGTGCGGGGCCAAGGCGATCTGGATGTCATCGGTGGAATTGGCCCGGCTATCGTTGACCAGGACGCCCGGCGGCATAGCCGTCAAGCTCACCGATTGTCGGCGTGACTGGAAAAGGTTTTAAAAGAAATATAATATATAAATTAAAGCAATTAATTAATAAGTATAATAAGACTATATTATATATATAGTATTATATATATTTTATATATATAATTAATTAATAAATATATTGAAAAGATATTACAAAATGTATTCTGGTTTAAATATATATAAATAACTATAAAAAATACAAAAATGTCAGCATTTCATATGGTTTTTTGCCCGAATTTTTAGACTTTTGCTGGTTTTCAGTGTCTTAAAAAATGAATGGAAGTATTTTTAATACATAAAACTATACTTATAATTCATAAATATCAACTTAAGACACATTTTAAAGGATTTCATCTTGATTTTTCCCCGAAATCCTTGACTTTTGGTAGTTTTTAATGTCTTAAAAAACTTATGAAACTATTTTTAAATGGATAAAAATAAAAAAGTATAAAGATATATGTATAAACAAATATTTTTGTTTATTTTATTTATTAAGAAATTAACGCAGAATTAAAATGTAATTCATAAATATCAACTCAAGATAAATTTTAAAGGAACTAAAGCAATTTTTGACGCACCATTTATTATATTTTTATTACATTATTTAAAGTCCCCAAGAGTTGCAGAAAAAGATTCCAATGAATTAAAATTTTTTACGTTTAAAGGACTTTCTCTTTGACACAATGATATTAACTAATAACAAAGGAGTTAAAGGGCGAGGATTATGGGATTAGTCTCGGTCTGTTCCCTCGTCGGATTAAGGGATTAATGGGAGGCTGTCACTGGGCTTGGGCGCAGGGGTCATAGGTCACGGACAAGGGACCTTAAAGCTTGGGAATTTCGCGATTTAAATGGCTCTCTCTTTTCAATAAATTGCAGTGTAAAAATGTGGAATTAATTACTTAAAATATATAAATATATATAAAAAATATAAAAAAAAAATTAGAAAATATAATAATTATAAAAAATTCAAGAAATATATAAAATATTAATAATATTAAAAATATTAAAAAATAAATAAAAAATATAATTTCGCTTTTAAATGTATTTCTCTCGCTCTCTTCAACAAATTACAGTGCAAAATTGTGGTTTTAATTACCTAAAAAATATATAAAAAAAAAATAAAAATAATGTAATTTAAATATTGAAATATTTGTAATAGTTTTCATTTTAAAATAACGTTTATTTTCTCCTTCCTAGCCCTTGATTGCTTTGCCTTATCAATACATAATTAATAACACTTGTAATATCGACCGATAACAGATTCATCATTCTTTATCAGTTCACTTTCGAGTATTGATGGGATTTTTTTTTCTTTTGAGTTTATCTTTTATTTATTGTGTGTGTCTCTCTCTGTGTCAAGTCTTTAAATAAATAATGTGTATTAAGCAATCTTAAAGCGATTTTCATTTGTGGATCTTCAACCCCTGAGCCACTTCAACCTTTGATTTTTCATTTTCTCGGCCTCGATTATTGCCACACACAAAAAAGTCACGAGACATTCTCTGATTTCTGATATTTGCCAGCTGATTTGCGATTTTTGTTTAGCCTTTAATTTTGTTTATTTTTTTTTTTTGTGTTTCGGGCAATCTTATCGCCCAAAAGGAGGCGAAAGTGCAGCCCGAAACAGACATAAAGCAAAAATTAAAACTCAATCGAAAAATCGCGCATACGACCCGTGGGCGGCACTCGAGCGAAACGCACACAAACATACAGACACAAAAAGAAGTCGCTAAGTTAATCATAAAAAGCATTCCCCGATTCAAACCGATTTGGTCGTTCATTAAGAAGCCGCTAAAAAGTGACGGCTAAAAATAGAAGCCCCAAACGGTCAGAGAAAAAAAGATATATATTATGTATTTATATTCAAGAAAGAGAAAAAAATTGTATATATATATATTACCGTGAATATTAAGCTAAAAAATGATTTAAAAATCATTTAAGGTTTCATTTATTAATTAAGACTAACTGAAACTCGTAAATATTTCAGGAAAATTATTGTTAAAAGAATATCAAGCATAAAAAAAATATTTAATATTCATTTAAGGGTTAAATATTTCTCAAAATTGGTTTTATTTCAGATATTAAAGATCATATAAAATATTTGACATAATAAAAACCAAGTTTAAAAATGTTTGCTGATAATTTATAAATTTAAAATCTAATTCCAGGCCTATTTATATTTTTAAATACATTGTAATTATATCATTTTAAGAGTAGCCTTTAACAGAGAAAGTATTTTGAAAGGTAATAGGACCGATTTCGGAGTCTATAAGTCAGGCGAATCGATCTATCCATGTTTTTTAAAAATATAAAAATATACCGATTTTTTTAAACATTTTATTTAATATTATAGCTTTTATATTAAATTTTTTTTAACTGCAAGGGCATAAAAACTTCTGCTTTCCGAAGTTACCTTCCTTCTGTGCTATTTGTATATTTTCCCTATTTTATATTTTTTTTCTTGCCAGCAAGTGGACACAAACTTTTGCCTCGACTTTTGGGATAAAATAAACCAAATCTGTGGTCAAGTTGGGATTCCTTTTTCGTTGAACCCCTTTTTATTTGGGCCAGGCAAAGGCGAAGGCAAGGCAAATATTTCATTTGGCAAATTGCTGGCTGACCCTTGGACTTGAACTGCTTTTTAATAATTACTCAAGGGGCGTAGGGAGGGAGGGGGATACGGTGCGCGTACCGAAATTCAATCCACGGCAATTCCACGAACTCATTTCACATATATTTAATTATATATCCAACAGCTCACAGAACTTGAAACATGTTTTCCGATATTTTATTTTGATATTTGTTAAGGGAAGTTGATTTTAAGTTGATCTTGAAGCTGAATTTTAAGTTGATTTTAAGTTGGTTATAAGTTAATTTGAAGTTGATTTTTGTGTATATTTTGTTGTTAGTTTTGAGTTGATTTTGCAGTTGATTTCTTAACTGATTTCTTGTGATTCGAAGCCGCGATAAAAAAAAGGGAAAGAAGTTCAACGAATTCCGTTGACGCGGCGCTGGGAACTGAACTGATTTAAATTTTTCGCCTCACTTCGCTTCGTTTCGACTGTCGATCGCCAGAACAGCTGACAGCTCCAGAGAATGCGAAAAGCAGGCAGCTTATCTTTGTGCCTGATAACGCCAGCCAGGTGAGCCAGGTGAGAGAGAGTGTGAGAAAGAGAGTCTCTCTTTGGCGGCACCGAAGCGATAAAGATCCACTTGAGATCATCCATTCAGTCTCAAGTGGCCAAGGACCCTGGCAATTGCCGGCAATCTATATATGAGGTCACATTCGATTACCAAAAATAAAGAACCAAAACAAAAAATTTGCAAATAAAACTACAAATTAACAAAAAAAAAAAAAGCAAAAAAAAGAAAATAAATAATATAAATAGCGCTCGGTTATTCCGGCAGTTTTTGCGATAAGATAAGACACGTCTCTTTGCTTTGCCAGGCAAATCGCCTTGAACTTCTTCAGTGAACGGAACACTCATTACAAATAATATATACATACGGAAACAAAGGTCATATATAGTAGCAACAAAAAATAATAATATTTAGCTTAACATATATTAAATTGCCATTAAATATATATATTAAATAAAAATTTAATATTATTTGGTTTCCAGGAATTAAATACTTTTATACAATTTTTTAAATAAATATTTGTATTTTTTATAATAATAATAATAATTTAAATAAAATCATGAAAAAATTCCCTATACTAACTAACTACATTTAATGAAAAACTTAAATTTGTTGCTAGGAACACGTTGCACCAAAATAAATACGAATGTTGCTAGGAATATATAGAGCAACATTGCTAAATCGATTATTTACAAAATATTTAATTTTAATTATAAAAAAAATCTAAGCAATCTAAAAAAAGGCAAAGCCAAAGTCTTGGGAGGCAAAGGTAAATTCTTTACTTATTCGCTGATATCTGCAAACCGTTAAAGATGTTTATGACAACCCATGATCTTGTTCCAACGATATGTCACAGATAAAAGATACGCAGATATGATAAAAGGCCCGAAAATAAGGCGGTATATATTAATGAAATATATATATCATATATGTATATGTACATTCCCCTTGCTCTTTGTGACTTTCAGTGACTTGGATTGGACTGGAACTCGGACTCTCTTTCATCCTCTGAGGTCTAGGACTCAAGGACCTAATCTGGCAATTAAATTGCAGGCAGGCAGCCAGTCGACGGGTATTCCTTTGATTAGCTTTCCGTTCGCCCGAGTGGCCACATTCTATTTACATTCGATTTAAGCCAGTGTCCGAGTCCGAGTTAGTTGGCTTGCATAATGCATTCGGCTATTTGGGGACAGGAAATTGGAATTCTCGTCCAGAGTCGCCTTCTGCAAATCAAATGCCAAATATTTATTTAATTAAAGTCTCTGTCTCACCCCTGTCTGTGTCTCTTGGCGGCAAACTGCTAAGAACTTTTTACGGAATATTAATTAGCAGGCTATCGGCAGCGAAACTGATAAATTCTGGCGGGGATTGTGGGCGGATTCGGTTACGGAAATTACTAGCGATAAATCGTTCAGTGCTGAAAGTTTATTAATTCTTTAATTTATTAAATTAAATAAATTAAAGAATTAATTTGTTGATATTTATTCAAGTATTTCTAAAAGCTAAAAACTAAATCTTTAAAGAAAATCGAACTCAATAACCGATTGGTTAAAGTGTGCGGTTTATGGTTTATGACAGGAGTTTCTCTTCCTCTCTCTGTCTCTCTCTCTCTCTGTCGGCAAAAGAGTCAAAAAGGAAAGGACGTTGTAAAGAACCACTGACCGACAAAGTAATGCAATTGACCAAGCCCTTGTGGGCAGTATGTTGTGTGATGTCCATTTCCGTTTTCGTTGCCATTTCCCCAACCCAAATATGATTAACTGTCAAAACGAAGGAAGCAGGGCAGCGGCAGGAGGTCCTGTCCGCTTCTGGCACTCCTCCGGGTTCCCATTTGCTCCTTCCCGCTGCCTTCTCCTCCAAAGTGTAAATATGCACTTAAATGTTTAATGAAATGCCCACGAAACACTTGGGGTACAACCCCAAAAAAAATGGCATCGCCAAAAAAGCAATCAAAGCAAATTAAAGTTCTACCAACCAATTTTTGGATTTTGGTGATAGCCTGCAACTATAATTATTGATTATTTTGTTGGTAATTAAATTAAATGATAAGATTACTGATTATTTTTTTAATAAATTAAATTAAATTATTAAATTAATCAACTATAATTACGGATTATTTCTTTGATAAATTAAATTAAATCTTCATACTAAATTTTTAAAATTTTAAAAACTAAAAGTAAAGCGTTGTTATGTTAGTTTTGATATCTGCATAATTTAATATCTATAAAGGTTAAAATTGTTTTTAATTTTCTTAAGGCAACATCTAGAATTAGGCAATAATTTTTAAAAGCTGAATCACCACTTTTTGTTTTTATGATCGAAGCAATTTGTATATCTTTCACCGTACTTTGTGCTTTTAATTATTAATATTTTACTTGTATCACATGTGTGTGCAGTACGCAATGATTTTTAGGGCTGGGGTATACTTTTTTTTTCTGAGCAACTAAAATATGCATGAGTAGAGCCGCTTTCTGGTAAGACTTTCCGTTTGCCCGCATCCGAAATGCACAAAGGTTTTGGGGAAATGCGAAAAACTGGGAAAGGGGGCCAAACAATAACTGAAAATGCGATTATGACAAAGCGGCCTACACAAGGACACGCCAAGGAGGAGGAGGAGGAAGAGAAGGCTGGACGGGAAAAGATGAGAGAAATGCGAATGTGAATGTGTATAATGTATAATGCATAAAATGGAATATAATCAAGTCATATACATGCACGTACACACAGGCTGAGATTCAGACTCGGGACCCAGACTCGGGCCAAGACTCAGACTCGCATGTAAGCCGAAAATCCAACAATTGGCAAATGGCAACAATTGTTCTTGTGGGGAAAGAGGTCCTCTCGCCACCACCTTTGCCTTTTTTGGCCCAAAAAAACTGCCCAAAGATGCAAAGCCACAAAGTGAATCTGCTCTTATGAGTGTTTTTCCACCCAAACCGATCAAAATGTATCATAAAAAACAACCAGAATTAATCTAAATATGCCAAGATGACAAACGAATTGAAAAGACATTTGCTCAGCTTATTGAAATTTGAAAGAATGACATATTTTATCGTTTCTTTGATAACATACATATTTAGGGAGCCCCTGACGACCCACAAATACAAATAAAATGAAATAAAATAAGAGACAGACACAAGGATATACTGGCACCGACAATTACTCTGTGCCGAGGGCAAAAAATCAATTTAAAAAGACATTGCCAAGGATAATGAGCAGTGGCAGTGCCAGCAAAAAGGAGAGCTTGGAGTAGGGAAGGTAAAATCATCGGGGCAATCATCATGGGCTCCCACTTCCACTCATTTCAGTGTCTCAGAAACCTCGCAAATCGCGTCCTCAAGGGTGCTCTCAATCGAAATCGCGGAGGTTTTTCCACTGGCACGTATGTACATATGCATAAATACCAGTTATTGCGCAGAGATCGAAAATATCTCAACTTGTAGATACCCTAGGATATGTACAAGAAATAATAAAATATTAAGGGAAATTCAAGGATAATGGAGAGAATTTAATATAATTATTATTATTTTTTTAAACAATTGGAAAATGTGAAGGATTTCTTAAAATGATTAATATACATAAAAATAAAGAAAAAATAAAGATAAAAAATAAAAATATAAATATACATATAAAATATATTTAATAAGAAAGCTTTAAAAGGTGTTAAATTACATTTTTGTTTAGAAACTAATTTTTTATTTGATTTCTATATCCTAAAATCAATTAAAAAATATATTAATTAAAACATTAACTCATTCTCTTCTCATTCAATTAATTAATAACTGGGTTTTTTTATTTTTAAATATTATTTTAAAATCTTTTCAAGACTTTAAAACAAGTCATATTTATCCAGAAAATATGCCTACTCAATGGGTGTTTTCCTTGGGGAAAGCCAAGTAGGTAACGGCAAGTGCTCAGCGCGTAATTGGTTGCAATGAAGCGAATTATAAGGACGAAGGAGTATCCTTCAATCTATATACAGAAGAATATATATATTGGAAAAAGAGGGAACTGCTCAATGTGTACACACGCAGCTGATGACTTGGCATGAGATTATGGTATTTCCGCTCTAAAGTCAAGAGCACTTCCGCCGTTTCACGCTCCGCCGCACTCGAAGCGGTGCTCTTTCCGTTGCACTTTTCCTCTTTGGCTTTGTCCGTCTCTGATTTTGCCGCGTAGTTCCCTAGTTTTTCCCTAGTTTCCCTCGGGTTGAAGGTGGGTGTAGAGCACCCTTTGTAGCCGCTGCCTTACTACATTGTTGTGCTGTTTTTTGCTCCCATTTTGATTTTTGCCATCTTTCATTAGAGTTTCGTTTTCGTTTTTCTTTTTTTCTAGACTTGATGCATATTTCGCGCACCTTTTAAACATCACATTGGAAAGTGACAAGTTGTACCTGACAGGTGTTGCACTTAATATAGTTTTATATCAGACACTAGGAAATACTCTTTCAAAAGAAGAGTCAAAAGTGTATAGAAATGAATTTGTTTGGAAATATTATTTGGAAATTGAGTAAAAAATAAAGAAATGGTAAGAAAGAGTAAATAATGCTAAAATCTAAAAAGCAAAATATATAGTATATAGAATGTAATATATATAATATAGCATATATTTTATAATGTATAGAATATTATATTTAAAATTAAAATTAAGCAAATGGCTTGGAAAAAAAAAAGTAAAAAAAATGTTGAACATATTTCAAGGATTTTTTTACTTCGAAAAATCTATTTTAATATTTAAAAACAAAGAATAAAAAAATAAAGAATGCTTAAAGCTAAAAAATATATAATATTTAGTCTGTTATATGTATACACAATAGACTCTATGTTAAATATATAAAAATTTAATTTAAAATATTAAAAGCTAAAAAAATGTTTGTTATATATAATATAATTTAGAATCTATAAAATATATTGTTTTCAATAAAAAGACTATGCTCATTTTCAAGCAATTTATACATTTCAAGGCTTTCTTTACTTTCAAAAATCTCTTTAAAAATTTATTTATAAGATTATATGTATATTTTTTTCATATAAAAAAAATATCCTTTCAAAAAAGATAATTTTTTACTATATTTTTTATACATTTATAAATTATCACATCTTTTTTTTTTGGGCATCCCTGCCAGCTTGTCCATTATTTTAAGTGCTAAATGGCGTTCAAAATGCAGCTTTCAATTAGCGCCGCAAAACAAAAAAAAAAAACATCTCCCAAGGGATACACTATACTCCAAGCGACAAGGTCCTTTAATATATACACAAATATTTATATATATATATATTTTTGCCAGGATATGCGTGTGTGCCTGTGCCTGCATTTGATATTTGTGTGATGCGCTCGAGTTTCTCCGATTAAAATGGAACATGGCACGAAATTTTGCTTTAAGGGACAAGAGTAACTACAGGCGGGCGAAAGATAACGAGAACGAGAGAGAGAGAGAGAGAGAGAGAGCGGGAGACAGGGAAAATGGGAAATGGGAAAATGGGTGTGCCAAGCAAGCCCCTCGACAGAAACACGCAAATGCATTCACATGGATCCCTTGGCCAACTGACAGGCAATCTAATGGAGACAATTTCTGCTAAAGGGCGGTCTGGCGAGGAGAACCACTAAAAGAGCGTTAAATCGAGCATGAAACCTCCAAAAAATATATATCATTTATGGAAAATCAAAGAAAGCCATTAGAAAGGATAAAAGGAACATATTTCCAGCAAATATATTAAATTTCAAAATTTTTAAGAATTTTTAAAGGTAAACAGAGATTTTTCCTTTTAAAACTGATTTTTATATATTAAAAATATGTATATATTATTTATTATATAAATATTACATATATACATTACAAATTCTTAGCTGTGTATTAAGAGCGTGTGTGCATTGTTGTTCCCACAAAACTCAATGCCAAGATTCGCATTACCTTTGCCGTCAGCGAGGCCTGGGGCCAATATCAAGCATACGCCATGTTGTGCGTCAATCCAAAAGGAAATGGATACTGCTGCTCTGCTGGAGACAAAGATACGGGGAAATGCATCACGATATCATGGATGTTTTGGATATCAGGTGATATACACAACCAGGTGGTACATTATATACACAATGACAATTTTTCATTACTAGTAAAAGTTACGGAATCTCATCAACTTTTCAGTAAGAGCTATGCATTTTTCTACATGTCAAAATACTTTTATTCCCAATTTTATATTATAATAAATCCAAGGCAGCGGCGAGTTTAATAGCAAAATATGCAAGCAAATTTTATAATTTACATCAATTTCTAAAATGGGTTTTGTGCTGTCCAAGTTCTTGAAGAAAAACACTACGCATGCTGTGCTGGAGGAACTGCAGAAGCGGATCCAGGCATTGGAGAAGTACATGATCGACACGGAGGAGCGAAAGCGTCGATTTGTGACAAACTTTGTGGGCTTCACCGTCGGCGCCTACATCGTGGGCTTCGGACTCATTTACTACTTCTACTGCCCCTCGACAGTGCTGGAGGGCATAGTGTACCTAGTGCCGTTGCTCCTCATACCCGTTGTCATCATTCTGCTGCGATGCCTGCTTACTTGGTATTTCCAACTCAAGCTGAACGAAAATGGGGAAAAGCTAGCCAAGCTAAAGGAGGACAAGCGCATCCTGTTGGATCAGGTCAAGAGCAAGGAGATCTATAGGGTGGCCCTGAACATCTTGGAGCGCTTCGATGAAAAGGAGGAAATTCGTCTTCAAACGGCAGCAGCTTTTGAACGGGTGCAGGAGCAGCAGGAACAAGTGCTCGCCGTGGAGGTACTGCATCGCCGGAGACCGTTTCCCATTGTGGACGATCGGACGCGTAGCGCCTTTGATCGCTTTGTGGACTTCATCGTGGGCGATGGTCCGCGAAATCGATTTGGTATGATCTGTAAGGAGTGTTATGCTCACAACGGAATGGTGCCCCGGGAGGAGTACGAGTATGCCTCATTTCGGTGTGCCTCCTGTGATGTCCTGAATCGGGCAAGGAAGATGCGACCGGTGGCACCACTTCTCCAGATGGAGGTCTCCACGGAGGGCAATGAAAGCTCCGAGAGTGAATCAGCAATGCAACAGTCTTAGGCGCAGACTCTTGGTTTATACATTTTGTAGATTTTAAAGGAATACAAAAATTCTGAAAAAATAAGTAAATAAATACATCTGGCAGCTACACCCTTGCCTGGATATGGTTACCCTTCTTGTTTAGAATATTATCCCCTTTCTTTTACGATTTTTAAGATGAAAGTAAGCACTACCTCTGCCAGTCTCTTTTCCAGATACCGCTGGCAACCGGTTTTCTCTGACCATTCCTGGATTAAACCACTTTTGTGTCAAGCAATACGCCACTCCTGCATCACTCCCATCCCCCACCAACAGCTAGAACGTTTCTCCCGCGGAATGACGTCTCTCAACTCAAGGCGTCTGACACAAAAGTGGTGACAGCACCGGCCACCTTATCAGCGCCCTGGCCAAAAAAAAAACATATGTCTGGCAGATAGATGGACAAGGTGATGGACAGACGAACAGTGGGGAGGGGGAGGCGTGGAGGTACACTCTCCCTCTTCATTTTCATCTTAATCCAGGCAAATTGACGAGCAGAGACGAGGGCAGACGGGGAACTGCTGTTGACTGAGATAAGCGATAAGATCGCTCACTTGGAGCTGCTGGCTGCTGGGCCAGACTATGACACAAGAATATATGAGAAAAACAAATAATACACACAGAAAAATTAAGCAGTACATATGCCATAAGAAAAAATAATATTACAAAAATAGACAAAAAAACACACACAAAAAAATACATAATAACAAAATACAAGAAAAAATAAACAAAAAAAAATGCACGAAAAAATTTCTTATTATAGAACTTATATACAGAGAATTTCTTTCTGTGCAAATCCACACACAAATGCAACTTAATTTATGCTTCTTTGTGTGCGGTAAAGACGTTGGGGATGTCTGATAATGAAATTACTGAGCTCGTCAAAGCTAGCCAAATATTTGAATTGCTTGGGATTGCAGCAATTGCTGCTGCTGCTGCTGCTGCTTGGCCACAAAAGCAACAAAAGAGGGTAAGGAAAAACAAGGGGAAATAGAATATAGAATAGAGAAAAGAGTAAAATGGAAATAAAAGTGGAAATATAATTATTATCTAAATGGGCATTAGTCACAAAATTCAGGCTACCAAGGAAAATTAAAGGCATTTTCAAAAAGTTTGTGTTGCTATTAATTATTTATATATTAATAAAATAATTTATTAATAACAATAATTAGTAAAAGTACAATTTCCTGCCTTGCAAATATTTCATTATATATATTTTTTTTTTAAGTTCTTGAAATAAATGCAAATAATGAATGTCTCGCGGACAATGCACACGGCTTAATTACACCTGAAATTACCTGTCCGCCCGATGAGCTAATGCGATAATGCCATAATGCCTCCGTGTGCACGTCACTCACTCCTCTCACTCTCTTTCTCGCTCGAATCGAATCGAAAACGCATTCACTGACTGCGATTGCCCATTTTTCATATTTCATTTTCCATTTCAATTTTCAGCTTCGCTTGGCGACTGCCCGGCGACCTTGCGCCCCCGTTGCCGCCGTCTCACCTGTGCCAGTGCCACCTGCCACTCCCCTCGCTCAGTGTTAGGCAAACATCAACAAATTTATGACACTATGGGGCAAACACAACAAAAAAAAATTTTTTTTTAAAAAGACAGAGCAAAGTGGCGCTCGTTTTCCTTCTTTTTTTTAATATGGAAAATTTTGACTTTGTTTGCCTGACAACCAAACACCATTACCACCCACCTCTCGAGATGATGATCCTCTTCACCCGCCCCCGCCAAAGCCCTCTTAACCCCTTTTGCCCTGCCCTGTCCTCTGCCGGTTAAACACTCTGAATGACTTTATCGCGTTTTTATCGCTGCAGCATTTACCTGCTCGCCTTTTGGTGCACAGTGAGAAAAACTTGCAAAAATAGAGCATTATTTGGGAATTAAAAAAATGAAAATGAGGCAGTTTAATGATAATAATAATGTTTACAAATTAAATTCGATGGTTATTGTTTAATATTAAATAATAAAATAAAAATTGATCTATTTCAAAGGAAATGCAAATATTTTGTTAAATCTCGAGCCTTAAATATATTATTTAAATTATTAAAAAAATAAAATCAAAATAGATAAAATGTTAAATTATTTTAAATAACTTTTGAAAGGTAATATTTAATAAAAAAGTAATTATTTACAATTTACAAAAGTATTTCTAGTTAAAAATTAAAAATTATAATTCTGATTTTTGATTTATTAATAAATTACAAATGAGATAAATTTAAAAATGTTTATTTTAGGAATACATACAAATATTAAAGGTATCCCAAATATATATATTAAATAATTATATAAATTATGATTTAAAACAAGGCTGAACCGCGAGTCTTAAAATAAAGCATTGCCTACATTTTGGTGTTGCAAAAAGGCGAAATGAATCTTTTTTACGATAAAAATAATCGTAAATGTATTTATTTTTCCGACGTGCACTCGCACTCGTTCCCGTTCTCACTGCTTTGGCATTATTATTTTATGAGAATTGCTCTCGCCCTGACAGATTTATGTGGCAAAAGGTTTTTGGCCCCTCACCTTCGGCATCTCCTTCACCCCACCCTTCCCCATGGCGTTGCCTAAATGCTGCTTAAATTCTATTTAATCGCTGGCTTAGCTCAGTTCGCTTTCAGTGGCTTTAAAATAATTGCAATACAACAACTACAAAAAACAAGAAGAACCTAAATTCGGGTAGCCGAAGTTTGTATACCCTTGAAGTTTGCAATTGAATTTTGTTTTCTATCCATCATGGCTAGAAAGCCTAGCCTATTAATGCTGATCAAAAATACATATGATTTATGGGGTAGAAAATGACTCCTTTCAGTGCTTTGCTGATTTCTGACTGAAATTATAACACCCTGTCAGGGTATACTAAAGAAAAAACTAAATAAAAATTCAGGGGACTTGTTGTCGTGCCAAGTTTGTCACGTAGCCGTAACGTGGGCAAGTCGAGTCGTATTCTTGGGGGGGGGGGTCTAACAATCGGAATGCAGGAGTTCTCCTCCGGCTCCCTAATGAGGCAGCGAGCTGGAGATGGAGCCACCACAAGGACCAACAGTCATCACCGCAGACTCGAGGAGATTGCGTGCCGCAGAACTTAATTGATTGCCCCCCAAAGGTCGTCGTTGTCGCCCCGAGCAGGCATCTTAGACATTCGGATGAAGTGGCACCAGGCAGGAGCAGGAGCAGAAGTACGAGTAGGAGCTGAAGCAGGAACAGGAGCAGGAGTAACACTAGGAGCAAGAAATAACTTCCTGCTTCGGAATGCGAACACCACACACTCTAAGGCCAAGAAAGTGTTATGCCCATGTCCAAAGGGAATTTTCTAAATAATATTATTTCGCCCACAACTCATACAACTTATTCCCTGAACACTTTTCCATTTTGTTAAAATATTTCCCATACATCTTGACTTGTTCCTTTCTTGTTTTATTTATTTTACTGCTGCATTTAACCCTTTAGTTTCGATGTTATTACCTCTATAATTTAAACTCACCAGCTGGCTTTCCATATTGAGCTGGCCAGTGGGTTTTGGCCTTGAGACTTTCGGCCAGCTGCCTTAACTCTAGGGCCAGATGCTGATAATTTCAATTGGTTTCTGGATGCCTTACGATTTTCAATTTCCAGCCTTGGTCATAAAAATAAAACCACAAAGATTTCAATGATTTCTGCTCCTACGTTTTTTTTTTTTATCAAATTGCAAACATCACTTATGGCAACTGCATGGCAAATGCAAACAAACAAACTAATTTTCTAGGGCATAAAAAGTCAAATACAAATAAATAAAAATATATATAAAGTATTTGTGAGAGGAGTAAACCACGAACAGTTGAAATTCCCCAGAAGGATTCAACAGGATTGGCCTTTATTTAAGACAGAAATTGCTCACTAAAACAAAAGTAATGCATATTTACATTTAAAATGTATATAAAAAATTCTGAAATTATAAATTCAGGCTAAAAAGTGCCACAGGAATTATTTTAAATATAATTTTTTATTTATTTAAGTTAAATACAAATATTAAAAATTCTACAATTATAAATTCAAGCTTGCAATTTCCCCAGAAAATATTTAAATATAAATTTTAATATTTAAGTTAAATATAAATTAAAATAAACATATGGCTTAGCGAAACTCCGCTGTACTTGACACAAAGAGCCCGTAGATGAAGTCCAAAGGAAACCCCATAAAAAAAAGCGAGATGCTGGTCAACCGGCTAGATGAGATGAGAAGTCCGGAAAGATGGATGGATGAATGGGAATGGAATGGCAGGAAGTCTCCCTTCTGGGGGGGGGGGTAAAACCGCAAAAGGCAAATTGAAAATAATGCTACTCGGGCAGTGTAATAGGACCAGCAGCAGGACTCGAAGCAGATCCTTCGGCCACTTGAGATTGTTGCTAATTTAATTGGATTTATTTGCTGCGTGCTTGAAATTTATGATAAGGCCGTGGGATGCCTGGGCGTTTTTATCTGCTGGCAAATCGCTGAAAGCCCTCAAATGGGATAACCCAGATTGAGGTTTATGTTCCCGAAGGAAGCGCCTTCGACACATTCGAAATTGAATTTTTTTTTATGCGGCAGGATAAAGTAAATATACTTTGGTAAGGCATGGGGATAACGTTATATTTATAAAAAAAAAAAAAAATAAATATAACACGTAAATATTACAAATAAATATAAGTACTGTTTTTTATTATTTGTTGTAATTATTTGTGTTATTTATGTTTTTCATTTACTTGTTATATATATTTGTTCCATTTATTTGTAATGTTTATGCGTTACAGTTAATTCTTATATATTTACTGTAATTTTTATTTGTAAGATTTATTATATTTTTTTTTTTTTATATTTATTTATAATATCTATTACTTATATTTATTTCTATAATTTCTTTAACAAAGCCAAGCTCAACAAATAAAACAAATAATATATAATAATATGATGGATTTTCCTGACTAACAAAATAGTCTCATGTTTGCAAAAGGATTACTGACAGGATGCGTGGCTGGTGGGCGTTGTCCTGGATACTTGGTAGTGTTTCCAGGATGGAGGATGAGCCTGGGGGCCAGGCACACACAGA